TATATATATATATATATATATATATATATATATATATAATTAACTATTAATATTAGGTGTACACTCAGATATATTCAAGGTATGGGAAATATTTTTTACCTAATCACTATTTTGTCAGTAAATCAAAACTTTTCTTGAAAATGGTTGGAAAAGTTTTCAAAAAGTAACATGAATATAAATATTACATTATTATTACAACCACACAAATGTGTTTTAGATTATTTTCTTTTAATTATCTTCAAATTCTCAGACACTCAAAGTCAATATTTCATTACTCATGAGCATTTGCCGATATATTGTGTAATGGAGAATAAGCATGAGTGAACAGAATAAACACAGAGCAGATAAAGCAAGTTTCGCAAGTTTCAAGCCTCTACATTTTTTTCTGGATCTGCATGTTCTCCTCTCATTACAGACCAATTAAATAAACAGTAGACTCTTCAGCCAGGTTTAACGCCAGACATGAACTATATGGTCTCCATTTTGACAAACGATTGAAAAGTGAGGTAAAAAGGGACTCAATATAATAAAATGGTGCCCTAGCAGCCAATGTTTAGTCCCCTTACGCTAATGATAGTAATGAACACTTAGATGAGGGATGATCAGGCCTGTCCTCCAGTCGGAGCTTTACGCAGGTTAATTAGGTAAGATAACATCATCAACCTCGTTCATGCCTACACATGGAATTAATTGGATAAGCTGAAGCTGGATTGAGGTCTATATATAATCATGTGAACAATCAAGGGGAGTAATGGAGGAGAGACGCCGGCCACGTCACAAGATGTCTTATTTAGATTCTCTAACCACCCACCTAATAAGCGCATGGACATTAATGGTATACTTTACAATAATGAATCGTAAAGTGGAACAATAGCAGTGTGGCAGTGGCAGCATCTTTAAAAAAAGACATCATGGGCAGTTTGATGAGCTTATCATAATATTAAGCAATTAGTCAAAGCATGAAGATGTGATGAAGTGTGGTTTAATAAAACCATGTCAATGAAAATGTATTTGAGGAAAACATCAATCAATACATGATTTGAGTTAAGATACGAAGGCACTTCAATTATTGATTTGTATATTGATATTATTAACACTGTAATGACTTATGCCATGTATGGATGATACTTCAATTATTGGAACTCGGCCACCCAGGACTATATAATGAAATAATAGAGTTGTCACAGATCGGCCAGACTCAGCCACCTCCCAATCACAGCAAACACCTGCACCTGAATAATGATCACACGCACCTGTCACTAATCTGCAGTCATCATCAGCCACCCTTCAAAAGCACACACCTCACTTCACTCCAGTGTCCGATCTCTTTTCATCGAAGTGGACTCTCTCTCTCTCTCTCTCTCTCTCACAGATCGGCCAGACTCAGCCACCTCCCAATCACAGCAAACACCTGCACCTGAATAATGATCACACGCACCTGTCACTAATCTGCAGTCATCATCAGCCACCCTTCAAAAGCACACACCTCACTTCACTCGATCTCTCGATCTCTTTTCATCGAAGTGGACTCTCTCTCTCTCTCTCTCTCTCTCTCTCTCTCTCTCTCTCTCTCTCTCTCTCTCTCTCGCTCTCTCGCTCTCTCGCTCTCTGATATCCTTACACGGTTCATTGAAAGACTTTACCTACCTGTGATACTTACCTCCTGTGTTTCCTCCAGTGTGTTCTCCTGTGTTCCGTTCCCTAGTCCGTTCCCGTCATCTGCTCCGTGGATTCCCTGTGTACCCATCAACTGAGGTGTGTGCAGTCTTCTGTCTCCCTTCCACGATCTCCTGTGAGGACCCTATATGGAATTACTCCTCTCATCTACCTTCAGGCCCGTTACCATAGTTCATATTCTCACCTGCCCTATCCATCCGCACCCCTTGCTGAAAATAAACATCGTTGTACTTTTCTAAACCTCTGTGTGAGTCTCCTTCCGTAACAAGATTATGACACATTACAGCAAAATCCACCTGACCAGGCATAATCAGATATTTATTTCAGGAAATGCAAACACATTTTAAAATAGATGAAATAGCCTATAGTTTCATTTTTCATGATTTCAAGTAGTCAAAAGTGCCCTAACTGACGAGTCATCCTATTCGATTTACACAAATAATTTCTCAGCTCCAGAAACATCCAGAACTTTGAGAAGTCAAAAAAATATTAAAATATAATGAATAAATAAATCCACATTTCCTAAGTATCTTGTGACTGGTCTTGTTACAACCCGTTCTCATCAGTCTGCGTATAAATAAGACGACTTTACACTTTCTAATTGCGTGTAATGCATACGCCAAATGCCAATTTTGCGTGCATATGATACGCCAATCCTTCACATTAACTTCAGTGGAGAGCAGATGCGTCCAAATACCACGTGTCATCTTCAGCGACAGTGACGTCACCAGCAAGGCTCAGTTCGTCCAGTTCACCTGATGCGTGTACACCTTCAAACTTCACGGTATTATTTTAATTATTTCAGTGTTTCTGCATCACCTTACATGGAATTATGTAACAGTGTAAATTATGGAACAGTGGGCTGCTCAGTTAGCACAGCTGCTAGCCTACCATTGACATTAGCCTAAGCTAACTTCTACTGTATATCCACCTTTTTCTTGTCGTAAAAATGGGCGCGGCCATTTGGAAAATATATGGGTATGGCTTCCGGTTTCATCTGCGTCCACTCCGTCCAGCTATTTTTAGCTGAGCAAAACAGTTCGTTTTGCTGCTTGATATTGAAAGTTGGTGTGTCTTATCATATTATTTTAATGTATTATCTGAAATTATGAACACACTGGTTTGTAGTGCAAACAGTTTTACCGTTTACTGCACGTTGTTATTCTCCTCGTTATTTACCTATAGCGGCTAATGAACCGGAAGTCTCACCCATAGGCTTACTTCCGCGTTGAAGAAAAAGGTGGATAGACCTGATGCAGTTTGAAATAAATAAAACCGTTTTTAATCATGTTGTGACATGGGTCTTCAGCTTTTAGACATGGCTGATGACAGCAAAATAAATCAACCAACCCGGGATCGTGTGATAATCGTGATCATGTAAAAAGTCCACACATTTAACATATTTTTACCATAGTAGCCTAACTGTTGCTCGACCATGTCATGTGTAGCCAATGCACAGTAACTACAACATATTTACCATGCTTCTCCCACCGTAACCGTAGTTTTACTGTGGTATTTGTAGTTACTAAAGCATAATAACCACAACACTTATTATGAGCTTAACGTTACCTCAGTAATCGTAGTTTTACTGTGGTATTTGTAGTTACTAAAGCACAATAACCACAGCATTTACCATGGTTTTACCACAGTAACTGTGTTTTTACTCTATACTATTTGTAAAGCACAGTAACCACAATGCTTGCCACGCCTTTAATACCTTTCTGTGAAGTCATTGTAATTCAATATTTTTTTTCTGTCTTGGAGTTACATCAGATCACATACTCCAGCAGCTCTTTAAAGAAGCCATCTCTTGTAACTACCAAGCAGATTGTGCCCATTGTAAGAGTGTTTATATCATAAAGTTTATATTAAGTCCATTGTATTCTTTATTAATCTTTACAAATTGGTGCCGTCTCTTCCTGTTCCAACAGTACGTGATATCTGTCCACACCTCACAGTCTGCCTTTCTTTCCATGTTGATTTCTATTGAACACATCTGTCTAAGAAGCAAGAGTCTGGAAATGCTAGTTTAACTTGTCACGTGACAAATCAGATCTTCAATTAATTTGGCCAAATCACATCACTTAAAGCTGTTCACACCAAGAACAAGAACTATAATGAGAACTATTTTAGCATCCACACCAACAGAAGATACTGTTCTGTATATTACAAGCAAGCGCTTTAAAGTCTGGTGGATTCTGATTGGCTGTCAATGTTTTTATTGTTCATCAACTGGAAAAAAAATAATTGTTCTGAAAGAGATTCCAACGATATTGTTCCTCTGTGTCATAAAATATTAACTCTGAAATGTTCCTTTCATTCTGTTAAAATGACACACAAAATTCTGCCTTTCTCTGCCTATTTCTCTTCATCTTATTCCTTTACTCCCTCACTCATTTACACATTATTTTATGCTCTGTTGTAAGGTAGAAACTGAGAGTTTGCATGATGGCCTTTTCTCAGACTCTGAATCTGATGTATACAGATGAACTCAGGAGCCTGCGAGAGCCAGGGAACTTGAGCTTGAATTATATAATTATAACTGTTTAAACAACAATAATAATTAAACATGGGGTCAATAAATATTTTCTTGTTTTACAAGTCAAATCATTTTTCACATATGCATCTTTTTATAGCTCCTAGAATGAGCAAATCAGCTGTGCATCATCTCTGGGATTTGGGCAGAAAATGACTGAATATGGTGAGTACTGACACCTGCACCTGTATTCACCAACACCATTTCTCTGGAGTTAATGTTGACTTATTGTTTTGTCTGTTTGTTTGAAGGAAGATGAAGCCAGTTGATGAAGATATCAATTCAATGGCCACCAAGTACTGCACTGCTGCCTGAACCCATCAGGAATCTGCTGTGAAGACTGCGTTCACAAACAGCTCTACTGTGACAGCGCAGATGTTACAGCCCATAAAAGTAAATTTCACAACTGAACAACTGCAAGATAGTTGTGGAGGGATTCTTTTGGCCCATACCTCCAACAAACTCCAGTAAGAATCAATGGTAAGTCCAGAGCAACAATTAGAAATAAAAATACTATATATTGTTTACTGATTTACCACACCCTAAATATGTTTTGTCTCTCCAGGACATCTACACCAGGTGGTGTGTGAGGAGGACCGTCAGAGACTCCACCCACCCGAGCCATGGACTGCTCTCACCATTACAGAACCTGCACCAGCAGACAGCGAGACAAGTTATTTCCACAGGCAATCAGACTGAACTGAACTCGTACCAGTAACACCACACAGCACACCCCACCAACCTCATATGCACTATCAGTTACGCTGACTGGACTCCCTATTATTCTGCACCCTGACATTCTGTTTGCACTAATTCATACCGTGCTGCACTGCAAAGGTATATGTGTACTGTGATTATTATTGTTTTCATTTCATGAGCTGTATAGCATAACATTTACAATATATTGTTCTCTACCTGCATTGAGTCCCTTATATATGTGTTGCATATATATTCAGTATTTGTATTTCATATTTATTCATTCATTTGTCATCCATAATGTCATGCTGCAGTTTGCACCAAAGACTTTCACCACCTGTACACTTGCGTTCATGGTATTGTAACAATAAAGTGATTTGATTTGAATTGGTCACATGTCTTTTGTTCATCAGTTGTGCTGTAGGGTGCTGCATAACAACTGCAAATTTTGTATGTCATGGCAGAAGATTATGATAGGGACATGGATAAGCAAGAAGAGCTCTGATGATGAGAAAGAAACTGGACGTGATTCTTTGGTGCTCAAGACATTTCACCATGCATGCATTTGGGTGGCTTCATCTGATTAAAATAACATAGTTTTAACATAACCCATTTTTATTTCTCTTGAATATCATTTGTCTTAATACACTACTTTAGCCGTCTTTAAGCTGTATCCTCCAGTAAAGTGTCGCACATGGTGTTGGATAATAAAGTATGGTGAATATTCTGTATTAGTGATAGTGTTTGGTAAATTCACCATTTAATTTAGTAAACAATAGACATAATTCTCATGAGTGTTTTAATTAAGACATGAACATTTGGTCATATTAATGA